CAGTTCGATTTCTTGTTCTAAGGATTTTGCATTTTCGATTTGTTTCAGTAACATAGTTCATGTATTAGATGTAACTGTGACAATACTCGATAGAGTTGTTGACCCATCACGCTGACTTTTCCCACGTTTAAGAGTGCAGGTGACTCGAAAGAGAGCTTTTATATTGGACCTCTTGAAGACATAACATCACATGGATATTTGAATCAGTGGCCACCAGAGGGTATTTGAAGTTTGCATTTATATTTTTTTTTCTTTTTCTTCTTTTTTTTATATCTTTTTTTTTCGTTTTATTTTCGTTGTTTTTGTGGGAGGGGTTTGATCCTTAAATGGTAAATTGGATAACGAGTCCTTTTTGCTTTACAAGAACACAACTTTTTTTCCAGCACTCCATGTATCCATTACCTTTCTTCTATGTTCTTTTTTATCCTCATAAACATTGTATTCAATCATAGTTTTTCGATTTTATGGAGAATAGACGTCGATAGCATGTGTGGAGAAAATCGATTGCTTGGTTTTAGGAACCTTTATATTTAGAGTCTTGGTAGTTAAGGTTCTCTTCTTTTTCCGTGGATGCATTTTTGATTGGATTAACGAAATTTGAAGTTTTCTTCATTTCCACTGTCAATTAAATTTAGGATTTTCATATGTAATGAATTGTGTTTGAGTTCTTGATTCCAATTACGCGAACAATTTACAATTGTACCCTTTTTTTAGGGATCTTCAGAGGTTTTGCCAAGCTGGAGGTCCACCATGGAAGATTATTATAAGCAAGTCTTGTGAGTCTTATCCAAGTGCTGTCACATTGTACTGTTTTCATACTTGTGTAGACGATCCTTAATATTTAATATATCCTTTGTGAAATGTGGTTGATCAATTTGCAATATTCTGGAATCGAGCATCTCCTTATCTGTTCATTGGCTTGTGTTGGATAGAAAATCTCCTTACTTTGCATTGCCACTTCACAATGAAAGTTATCTCGATATAAAGCATGTTCGAGTTTGACTCTTGATATGTCTTTGTTACTTCACTATTACTACTTCAAAATGAAGGTTATTGATCTTTACTAGAACCATGTGGAAATTGACTTTAAATCGTTGCATTTCCTTACAACTTTGGCAATGTAAGATGTTTTGTATGTTTACATGGATTAAATTTATTCTTGGTTGAAATGGAACATTCTGAATATTTTCCGGTTTCACGTGTTAGGAGTGCTGGTGAAAGACTTATCTCATTGATCGCATTAGCACTGGACTTGGAGGAGAATTTCTTTCATGATGTCGGTGCATTTAATCCACCAAATGGTTTTCTTCGGTTGTTACACTATCCAGGTTAAAGGAAAACATTAACCATCTTTATTTATATTGCCTTGAGTTTTACCTTAAAGTACGTTGCAAAAAATTACCTCGTTGGAATCACCACTTAGAGCCTGTTTGGCTAAGCTTATAAGCTCCTAAAAATATCTTATAAGATGTTTAAGAGCTTATAAGCTGTTTAAAAGTGTCTGGTAAAAAAAATTAGAAAAGATCTTTGTTTTTTTTTTAATTAAGCTGTTAGGGAGCATATAAGATGTTTTTAAAAAAGTACCTCCACCCCACCTTTTTTCTTTAAGATCTTATTTGATTATTTACTAAAACACTCAAAATACAAAATTACCCTCAAATTCTTTATTATATTACATGAATACTAATAACATTCATATTTTATCAAAACAACGTATTCTTGCAATCAAGATTAATTATTAGTTAAAATGTAATTATCATAATAATTGTAAAAAAAATGTTCTCTATTTACATTCTATATGTATATAAAACACCCGAATATTCATATTATTTCAATAATAAATTATATATTTCTTTTATCTATAAAAAAAATTACATTTCTTTTACAACCTTTATTTTATATTAATATATTAATTTTATATTAATGTTTTTATTTGAAAAATTAATTTGTAAATATTATAATAATATATTAGGAACAAAAGTATTTTAGTCAAATAAGTTTAATAGTTTAATGGCGTCACGTAGTCATTATAGCAATAAACAGACCTTTTATTTCCAAACACCTGAACAACTTATAAAAACTAAAAGTAACTTATAAGCTATATATCCAAACACCTTAAAAAGTAATATTTAAAATAAGATCTAACAGCTTATCAGCTCCTAAAACATCTTATCAGATGTATGAGCTTATAAGATGTTTTAAATAAGCTTAGCCAAACGAGCTCTTAATGCAGACAGAACAGAAATAGTATTTGCATGTCAATTTCTCTTCGTAACTTAAAAGTTTGAGGTTAAGGCCAAATATTATGAATACCAAGTGGATACTGTATATTTAAATGAGTTCGTCTTTCTTTTCGTCTTGTTGTACAGGTGAATTGAGTTCATCTAATGAGGAAATATACGGTGCTTCTGCCCATTCGGACTATGGGATGATAACTCTTCTAGCTACAGATGGCGTTGGCGGACTTCAGGCATGTCTACTTAACTGCTCATTCAATTTTTTGCCGACCAACAAATTTTCAATTTCTTATTTAATTTAATTTTATTTTATTTTTTCCCGTTGACAGGTATGCAAAGAAAAATTGAAGAAGCCACATGTGTGGGAAGATGTGCAACACATCTCCGGGTATGTTCATAATTCTAGTTTACATGTCAATTGAATATTGTTTCCTGCATTCGATACTCCTTGAACAGTCTTTTTCTCAACTTTTCACCATCACGACAAATAAATCATCTGCTCGATTTTTTGGCAATTGAAACATAGACATAGTAGATAAATCTAATATCTTCTTATATATTTAATAACTAAAAATGAATAAATCCTACTCAGTTACTTAAATTCTTTTAGTAATGATGAAAGTTATAGCTGCTATAATTACTTTGAAGTAATTTGTTTTCAGGCTTAGTAAAGTGTTGCAAAAGATAACCAGAATGACTATTGAGAATGTGAATGAGTCGGATAGGGGCTTTTGTGATAATGAAGTTTCTTATCAAGTCTATGACAAACTTGTCTTGGATATAATTTTTTTTTTAACCATTTCAAAAGAGAGATCTTTAATTTTTATAACCATCATGTCTTTTTTTCAACTGCAGGGCTTTCATTGTCAACATTGGCGACATGATGGAACGATGGACGAATTGTCTGTTTCGGTACTGTATCACTTAAAACACATGAAAACCACTTTTCAGATACTATGTATTATATCTTTACGATGGGGGATTATTTGCTCGTAGTTGATTTCAGCTTTTGTTTTTAGAAAACAGTGGAATTTTTTTATTTATGTGTTCTCTTTCCATATTGCTGGATTTTGCAGGTCAACATTGCATCGAGTGATGCCTAGAGGTCAAGAAAGATACTCGGTAACTAGTTGTTCTTGTTTGACAATCCATCTTTTGATTAAACCTTTGGTTATAAAAGCTTTGCGTTCAAACTGATACTTTTTAATGTGTAACTAATAAGTTAAACTATCTATAAATCAAAAGCGACTAACAATTGCAAACAAAGACGATATTGCTACGAGACCATGTTCGTAAAAATGGACTACGACACTGAATTTAGTTCACAAATATATAGAGGAGGAAAGACGAAAAGATAAAATGAAATTCCTTGAAGAAAAATCTGTATTTCCTAGCTCGGTTTTCATCGGTAGTAATTGCTCGTATTGAAAAATTCTGACGATGGCTTTCTTTCGATTGAATTAGGCGGCTTTCTTCTTAGATCCTAATCCAGATTGTGTGGTGGAATGCTTAAAGAGTTGCTGCAGTGAGTCAACTCCTCCTAGGTATGGTCAGAAAGTACTCTTCTTGCACCAACATAACATGTTACTCTAGTTAAAAATTAAATGTATTTATCGTTTAATTTGCCTCAGCTTGTCTAGCTATTTAAGTGGTAGTACTTGATTGAAGCCGACTTCGTTGAAATATAATAAATAAATAGAGATAATCATTCTATTATTCTCATTGAACAGAATAATGTAAACAAATTATATGCATTTATATAATTATATTAAGAAGGCTAACATTTGAAATAAATTAGTAGTTTGCTAAATAGTAGTATAATTAATATCACAATATAAATGTTATTTTATTTATATTATATACTCCCTCCGTTCCTTATTAATAATCGTTTTTAGCTTTGCACAAGTATTAAGAATCTCAATAAATGTGTCTTAATTTTAGGAAAAACACATTAGAAAGACTAAAATAACCTTGATCATTTAATGAAGTGTCAAGAGAGTTAATACTTAAAGTTGAATTAATAAGGTTAAAAAAGGAAAAATTGCATTTAATGCAGTATTGGAAATATTAAAGTGACAAATAATATGGAACGAAATATTTTTAAAAAAGGCAGTTATTACGGAACAGAGGGAAGTATATAATAGACTATGAATGCTTTAAGTTTTAATTTTTCATATTTATTTTTAACGTGCATCGAAGCTACTGAATGTTAGTGTTGGCTGGATTAAAGTGTGGACTCAAACAAGCCATGTTTGCCCAATCCCTTACGTTTGTGCGTGTTTGTGCATTGCAGATTTCCACCAATACGCAGTGGTGAATACCTAAACGAGCGCTTCAAGCTTACGTACGGTGCAGGAAACTAGTCTAATTAAAATGAAGGTTTATGACTTGGCTTTACTCAGGTGAATATATATTGCTACTATTCCAACTTGTGTTAAATTCTCTCAAGATATTGAATACAGGCACCTAAAACGTGTATCTTATTCCTAAAATTTATTTTATTGTTGTTCAGTTTTAGTTTGATGAGTTATATGTTTTATGATTGTGTATTCTACCTTTTCAGTTATGCTTAAATTATTTATTGAAAAAAGTCACAATTTATCAAAAATATTTCTAGCAAATGGAATATTCCATTAAAACAGATTCCGTTAAAGTTAGCATGGGCACGATGATGAGATGGATTATAGTGATGAGGGATGAAAATGAGACAATTAAGACATGAGGGACTAAAGGGAGACTAAATGTGAAGATGAGGGACCATTAATGAGATTTGGCCTAGAATTTTTGACACTTTGCACTCTCGGAAAAAAATAATAGCACTTTGCACCTTCGAAACACAATAATCATGTATTATGCACCCGAATGAATTTATATAGCTAATGATATGTTTAGTGGTAATTTTTTTAGGATGCCAAATGTTTAAATCTTTTTTTTCTCCTTATTATTTATCAATACTTTTGAAATTGTAAAGTGCAAAAATAAAAACTAAATCTCATCAATATATTAAAAAAAAAAAGTTCACAAAAGAATATTCAAAATCCTTCAGCTGTTTCGGGAATCAAGTTATTTGAAAATTATATTTTCTTCTAAAGATTTCCACCAAACATTTCCATGAATTACAATAAAAGATCCATCAATCGAATAATTTAGTAAGATTTATTCTTATTTGTACGAAATTATAGTTTTTTTTTCTTCAGTAATTCATTATGAATTTGATTTTTTTTTATAACGCTTGCATTATTACGTTGGAGGTAGAAGAACATTTATTTTGCATCCTGGAAATAAAAAAACCAATAAAAATTGAAATTACTCTTATTAAGTTTAAATATTCTATTCATGCACTGTGAATGAATTTTTGTAATAAAAAACCAATAAAAATTGAAATTACTCTTATTAAGTTTAAATATTCTATTCATAGTGCACTATGAATGAATTTTTGTGTTTCGACCGTGCAAAGTGCTACTGATTATTTTTAAGGGTACAAAGTGCCAAAATTGTTATATTTCAAAGGGTGCACAATGTGATTAAGCATTTCGACAACTATGAGACAGTTGATTTATTATTTTTTTGGTGATTAGACCAAATTTCAGGAGACGTAGCCAATATGTAATTTTGCAGCATGAGAAACATAATATGGCACGGCACTACTTGCAATTGTATATTTCCATGTAAGAAAGAATCTTTGCAGCATGCTCACTGCATCTTTATCAATCAAAATCACAGCACACTCAGTTCCAACACCTTTCGGCGCGACACGACAAAAACGCGCTCACAAATTTTGTTTCCATCTCTTTCAAAATTGAGTGATGCACCATATGTGTTACATACATAAACCGACCTACTCACTATCGCAATTGCTAGCAATCTAAAGTCGATATTCTTCTGGTTGCTCGAGATCAATGTCTGGATAAACTACCGCGCTAGAAAAGTTAAGCGCTTTTTGGAGCTTGCGTTGGTTAAATATCTCTACTTCAACCAAGAAAGTCGAACTAACAGGCCGATGGTCTGATAGCCTTATCTCTGATCTCTTGTAAGAAAGTTGTTTTATCCCTTTTCCAAACCAAAGTATTCGGTCACACCTGCATTAAACAACCGCGCAAATTTCTTGAATTAGTCGAAATAATGGTAAGAATTAGCGTCTTCAAATTCAAAAAAGGCCAATAAAGGAGACATTATAACATGTAATTTGTTTTACCATGCTGGGGATCTCTTCTTTTCTCCTTCTCTTGGGTTTTGACCAACGTATATATCGGAGTTGACCTCATACTTGTACGTCGGTGCGAAATTAATCACCCCTTCTCTCCATCCGTCAAAAACATGCCCATCTCGTAGTTCTTTACTTAACTGCAATTATTTTCCCTATATTAGATTATCTCTTCGCAAATTATTGATTTACTTTAGGAAAAAAAAAAAAAAAAATCCTTTTTGGATGTTTGGAAGTTCATTCATAAAAGAGAACTAAAACCTGTCTCCAAGAAAAATTCATTAACGATTAGGACGACAAATTATCCACTTTTGAACCATAATTAATGGCTTACTATTTATACCTGATCACCGTTGAGAAGCTCAGCCCACTGCTTCTTGTCGACAAGTTTCCTTACATCTTCGTCCAACATATTTATGCGGTAATTCAAATCTCCAAACCAGAATATCTGACTGTTCATAACAACAGTCGGCTCATTAGAAACTACGAAAATAATAATTCTAAAATACGTTACGTCACAATGAATTTAAGTTTAAATTTTCAAAGAGTGAGGTATATTCAACATTACTATTTAGTGCACTTACTCATGAGATGGAATGGTCTGTGGCTGATCAATGTCAAAAACGGATGAAAAATGGGTCCGTTTTATAATTTCGAGAACATCAGAATTACGCCTTTGTTCAGCACCACGCTTCTCACCGGAGGTTAGATGCGAACAAACGAAGCACAAACGACTTTGGAATAGAGACATACTCACGGAAACCGATCCCTGTGCAGAATCCATAACAAAATCGTAAATTAGGGCCCGTTTGGCTACGCTTATTTAAAACATCTGATAAACTTCTACATCTTATAAGGTAACCTCTTAGATCTTATTTTAAAAACGGTGAAGGTACTTTCTTGAAAACAACTAAGAGGATGTTTGGCTAAGCTTATAAGTTGTTAAAAAAACTTGTAAGATGTTTAAGAGCTTATAAGCTCTTCTAAAGTGTTTGGAAATTTTTTTTTTAAATATAAAATTTTTAAAAATTAAGCGGTTAGAAAGCAAATAATTTAAAAAAAAAAAATACCTACATCCTACCTTTTTATTTAAAATCTTATAATGAGTAAAACGAGCTCATAAGTTCGTTATCCAAACACTTTAAAAATTAATTCTGAAAATAAGACGTAACAACTTATCTTAAAACAGTTTATCAGTTGTTTTAGCTTATAAGTAAGTTTAGCCAAACGGGCCCTAATGAACTCTTTGACAACTTTTTTTTTTGAAAAATTAAAATCTTTTGAATTTTTTTACCGGACAACTTGTAATAGCTTATAAGCCGTTTTGAAGAATAAGCCGTTTTGAAGAGCTTATAAGGTTAGCCAGACAGCTGTAATCAGAAGCTTACCTTGTTACCCATGTAGCCCATAAGCCCAACTCCAACTGGAGAAACTTTCAAATTGTTGATATGTCGTCTTAACCTTCTGTGCACCCACACAGATACATATATTCCAACCATCTGCTTACTCACAACTCGTACGTACATCCGATTCGACTCACCGATTTCATTTCCATTTCTAGAATCTCCCATCTCTGCAAACGAATCTCTCTCCTCACCGAATATTCTGTCCAACACCATTTCATCATCATCATCATCATCAAGCAGAGAATCCACAACAGCTTCTTCTTCTTCTTCAACAACTTCGTTTTCTCGATCCATGCTATTACAGAACATCAACCCTAAATTCCCGGAGCTGGAGTGCATTCTCCTCAATCCCGAACCACCGCCGAACGATGTGTTCTGATTGGTGAATCCAATCCTCGCCGAACTGCTTATCGCTCGTCGGAATTTAGGTCGGGAAGACAGGGATTGCGACGCTGCGTCGAGTGATTGTTCCGGCCAGTCCAATCCGCCGCCGTTGGAAATTCTAGGGTTAGCTTCGGCGATGGAATCTTCCCGGAATATACCTAGCGCCGGAGTTGAATCGGCTTCTTCAGCCAATCTATCGGAAGCGGAGGAAGTTCTGAACACCGGAGATGGAGGCGCGCTGAAGCTCTTGTGCCTGATTTCAGGTTCCGATGATTTATTCAATGTTTTCCGAATTAGGGTTTCCCATTTGGGGATTGGTCTTCTGTTTTCTGCTCCTAGTACATTCCCAGCGTTCAAAGGTACCACCTCTTGAAAACTGTGTCACAATAATTAAATTAATTATTTAATTAAATATTAGATTGAAATAATTAATGATTTGAATTTAAGTACCCAAGGATGTATATATCTGCTGGTTCTTGCATACAAAGCCATTCGTCGATGTCGAGGTTGTCGTTGGGATGTATTCCGGCTACATTCCAAGTTCCGATTGTTACTCTGCACAATTACGAATCGAATTGGATCGAGACTTGAGTGAATAAATCGGCACGGTAGGTAAAGTTTGAAAAATAATTTATTGAGTTAGTTCTTACTGAGCCAAACCTCAATTCTTTCGTACTTATGTACTGGAGTCGCAGCGTTTCCGATTTTCCTCTCCGGTGTTTTAATGGTGTGTCTTTTGACGGTTTCCCTGGATTATTCAAAGAAATTCATGCTCGATAAATGGAACAACATTTGAAAAAAAAAGTATAATCTTTTCTGATGTTTCTCGATTATCGAATACAGAAAAGACATACGAAAATCGCGTAACTCCTTATGCATAGTTTTATGCGAAAATTCAGCAAAGATGAAATTAGTATACTCACTGCCCGTAGTCGATTGAAATTCGTGTCTTGTATTGACACGAGAGTCGTTCATACATTCGTCTTTAAGCGAGCAAGCTATAACAAAACGCAGAATTAGATTATCGATCTTCGGAAAAAAAATTAAATTATCGATAATTCAACGAATCGAACCCATACCATCATCCTCACTCTCGGTGTCACCTTCGTCTTCACTAAAGTCGTAAACCTTCGGCTTTATATTCAGCCATTTCTTCATAACAATGGATGGCCAAAAGGGCTGCAAGAACAAAATCATTCACGAACAGTATATTACTGCATTAGCTCAAGCAATTAATTCGGCAGACGTAAAAAAAAATAAAAAAATTAAATGAGTCGTACCTCGGAGCGCTTTCCTCTTCGGGCTTTCATGCTAAGACTCTCTCAAGAATAAAGAAACCCTACAAATTAGTGGTAAAGAAACTATTGCTCTGATCAATTCTCTACGGAGTTTAAGAAATCGTTCGTTCGACGGAGTTTAATTGAAGAAATCGTTTACGTTTAAATACACGAATGTAGTAAAGGCTAGCTTCACCACAGAAAATGATTGTACATATAATTGTTAGGCAAAATGCAAGGAAGATTCGTACTTGAGACCAAACAATAAAAGACAGACGAAAAAAAAAAAGAAAAAAGAAAAGTAATGGTCAAGATTTACAGACATCCACTGGTCTCAACTTGCACTCAAAATTCTCTGATGGTCCTAACTCACTCCTAATAACAATATCTTGTCATTTTCATCTTTTTAAATCAATAGCCACGATTATATTATTGATAAATTAATACCCACATGTCATTTTCAATTAATCCCAGATATGTATCCTTCCAATATACTAAAATCTGACTGATTTATTAGTTTAAAAACATAAGGCGTTGACATCAACAGTATTAACCAGTATAATATATATATATATATATATATATATATATATATATACATGGGCAGTGGCGGAGCCAGAAATTGGAGACAGAGTGAGCTTAATATTTACGTAATTCGGGGGCAGAGCCGCGAGATTTTTTTTTTGATTCATTCATATAAATTAACACAAAATCACTAAAAAATTATAAACTTTAACTAATAACACATCATTTTTTTAGTGGGTGGGCTAAATTAAATTAATTGGATGGACTAATTACATATCGCTATAGTATTTAGTAGAATATTTTAGAAATTCACTGTAGGCCACCCTTGCCAAAAGGTGACTCCGCCACTGTATATGGATAAATAGCATATATGGATAAATAGCAGTTAACACCCTGTGGTTACAAGCTTTTGCAGATGACCATCATGTGCTCGTAATATCACCACATAACTCCCTTGTGGTTTATGGGGTAATTTTAGTTAATTTTTCTGTCAGTGTCAAACGTTAAAGTATTTTTTTTTTGCAGATGATCCTCTGTGCTTTCATTTTCTCATTTATTTTTACAAATAACCCCTTGAAGTTTGACACACGTGATTAAGTTTGACGAAAAAACTAACGGAAACTACCCTATAGATCACAAGAGGGTTATGTGCTGATATTACGAGCACAAATGAATCATCTGCAAAAGCTTATAACTAATGAGTTAAGTGCTATTTAGGCTATATATATCACTAGATTAGAAACACCCTCCCTCCCCATGCAACATTTGTCTGCTTGTTGCATGATTGCTATATACAGTACCACAATTACATATATTGATCTAATTTAATTTCCATGATAGATACGTTTGTAAGAGTGGAAATAGTTGGCATTGCAAAATGTAGTCGGCATAAAGTTGATGTTCTTTTTCAAATTCTTTTTTTAATACAATTTAAAAATCCATTATATATATCCACGTACACGTGGACATAGATAGGTCAAATAATAGCATGAGGATGATGGTATGGGTGAACTATATTGTGCCTTTTTTACATTATACAATGATCTCAATCAACCTCTTAAGTTAATAATTGTGGTATATATATGCATTTAATAATAAGAGGCAATTTGCCCTCAAATTTATTTTCTTTGAAGTTAGGATATCATATTTTTTTTGGTTTCGAATATAGTCCATCACTAGTCCTTTTATATAAATACTCTCGCAATTTTGTTAGTGAAAACTCCATCATACTTCTCGAATGTTACAAATCAAATGCCAATATGACGGTATTTTCCATTCAATTGAGTCAATTGATTTAAATCAGTTGACTCGAGGAAGGGCAGAAGTGATGGGGAAAAGAAATAATTGATTGACTAAAATAATTGCAAATCAATTGACTGGATCGACTGATTAGTAAGGATAAAAGGGCATGCGAGGAACTTAGAACATCTTCAATGCCAAATTCAATAAGAATACTAAAAATCGTAGGTGTCAATTACCAAATGTGAATATTAAAATTTTATCCATCCTCTTTGGCAGGATTGAGAATATTATCTACTGCATCTCCGATGCAACAGCAAAGATTCAATTTGTTTCCCTACAAATTATATGAAAATGATGAGTTGGCGCTTTAGAGATCCTCAAGATGACATTTCAATTTCAATTTCAATATGTCATTTTAAGAATTTCTAAAATCATAAGTGTCGCCCTATTGCCACATCATTTGAAGATTTTTCTTAAAAAAATGCATTGAAAATGATTTTTTTAACAAAAATCTCGAAATATATTATGTGTCATTCTAAGTATTACCGATTGAATTCAGCATTAGAGATAATTTGAGCTAAGATAAAAAAACATTAATCGAAAACCAAATGGTCATTGCCTCAAATTAGGCCGCCTAAGGGACGTTTCACTATTTTTCTATTTAATAAATTGTGGGACACGGCACATATGCATTCCATTTTAACTTATGTATTTCTCTCTAAACTCTTACCTTTTTACACCATTGGTTTTATCTAAATTATTTATGTACATAAATTAATGGCTTTAAAACAATAATTTTTTTATCCCATAATATATATATAACTAATATACATGTTGTGAATATTAAAATCAAAATCCAAATGAGTCCAAATTCTAAATATTTGTCCGTCAATGGAGCTATATTATTATCATTATTATCCGAAATAGGCAAGAGTCATTTGAATAAGAGAGGTTATAACTTCATCTTGAAACCCAAAAACGATAATATTTTCATGTTTATTTTGTTGCTTTTATATTCTTTTTTATATCTAGAATTTCTTCCAAGATTGTACCTTTATTGGAATAATTAATTATTATAGTAATATAAACTATCTTAAGCAATAAGAAAGCATGTTTTTTTTTTGGTCATTAGCAATAAACCCCTCATATAGATAATAAATGGTGATATGTTCACCCCTTCAATCTTTCTTTGTGATAGCCCCCTAGAATTTGTATTCCCAATTGTACCCTTATGTCAATTAGGATAATTAGTCTCAATTATTCCTTTTTTCTCTCTTTCCATAACAATAATCCAATTCCTAAAAATCTCCTTCTAAATTCCTAAAAATCTCCTTCCAAATTCCTAAAAATTTGCTACCAAATAAAAAAAAAATAACTTTTTTATTATTTTTTTATTTTTTATTATTTTCGGATTTTTTAGCCATTTTTCAATTATTTTTATTTTTTAATAAAAAAAATTTAATTTTTTTTTTAAATTTTTTTTAAACAAAAAATTGAATTTTTTTTTCTTGACAGATTTACAACTCCGAATATGACTATAGTTAAACATGACTATATATGTGACTATATAGACATATTCTTTCTTTATATTGCATTTTTTTATATTTTCAACTTAAAAATTTCGATTATATAATGTAGTATAGTCATGTTTACCAAATTATATAAAACAAATAAGATTCCCCTATATATTTACGAAAACAATCCAATCAAAATTCACACAAAAAATACCAATTTTGAATCTAGTTATTCGAATATGACTACAGTCATATTCATATTCGAATATGACTACAATCATATTCGAAAAATACATAAATATGACTATAGTCATATTCGAACATGACTATAGTCCTGTTATGAATTTTTTTTTTTGAAAAATACATAAAGATAGAAAAATAACGAAAGAGAGTCATGGGGAGTCGACGACAACGGCGATGGTGGCGGTGGTGAAGTAAAGAGAGTGAGAGAGGCGGCGACGGTGGTGGTGGTGGGGGACAAATCTGGAAAAAAAATAAAAAAAAATGAGAAAGATAACGAAAAAGAGAGAGAGAGTCTTACGTGGAAACGAATGAGGAGGCGGCGGCAACGAGCATGGTTGTGTACAAATTTATATATGTGGAGACGATGGTGGTGTAAAGAGAGAGAAATCGAGAGAAATAACGAACACGAGAAATAAATAAATCACTAATCGAGTGAATCAACAATAGTCATATTCGAACCAGAGTAGTCACGTTGATGCTGCTGTTTCAGATTTGGAGAGAAAAAAAAAGAAAAAAATCGAAAAAACCAGGGGAGGCGACGACAACGACGGTGAATGACAGAGAGAGTGGGGACGTGGCTACGGTGGCGGTGGTGGACAAATCTGGGAAAAAAAAAAGAAAAAAAAAAGAAGAAAAAATTGAGAAATCGAGAGAAAATGAAAAAGGAAAATCTCCATGTAACGCATCCGACGAAGGGCGGCAACGAGGTTGGGGAGGCACCGCCACCACCACTTGTACGGAGGAGGGCCTCCTGCATTAGGTTTCGGTCGACCGGAGGTTGAATGGTATTTTTTACTCCGACGGTGACGAGTGCACGAACAACCGTGGCTATGGTGAGTGGACTACGACGGTGGTGTAAAAACGACGAAGGAGGGCGTCGCGGTACAGATCTGGAGAAAGACAGAAAAAGAAAAAAAAAAAAAAAAAAGAAGAAGAAGATGATACATCGAGAACGAGAGAGAGAGGGGAGGGAAAGAGTGAAATAAATTATATCACGTTAAAAACCAAATCACATAAGGACACTTTAGTCTTATCATATCTGATTAGGGGTGTCTCACTAATTAAGAATGAAACTTGGGTGTAGGCAAAAGTCTCTAATAGTCAATTCGGTTTAGTTCAAAATATTTTCAATTTGAGGGGGTATTGCATATTTCCCCTTTTTTTTATTATTTTAGTATTAAGAGGAATAATATTTTCTTAACTTTGAAGATGGTTTACCGTTTATGTATTAATATATTGGTAGATCCGCTTATTTCAAATTTTGATAGATGAATATAGGTACAGATTATTTACTTATAAAAGTATAAAATTAATCTAAATTAAATAAAATTATTGGTGTGTACTGTGTAGTCTTGTAGAATATTATATTCTCAATTAATAAATAATTTTTATTTGAAAATAGTTATTATAAAAAGAGTCTCTCTTCCTCTCTCTCCCTCCCTCTCCGTCTTTCTCAAGTCTCTCTCTTTCTTCTCTCTCTACCTAGTCTCGCGTATATCTTTCAATATGTACTTATAATGGATTTATAATTTGGCTGCGGCTATATGCAAGACTAATTCCACTTGTGCAAGACCAAATTAAAATTTTCAATGTATAAATACTATAATACCCTTATTTATTAAAAAAATAAAAAATTTCAAATATGCAAGACAAAAAATTCAAAAACACAAAAAACTCTATCACAAGACCACAAAACCACAAGACCAACTATCATCTTCTCCATCTTCCAAAACTCACAAGACCTTTCTCCTTCCTCCTCCATTA